GGGAGCCCAGAGCGCTCCCTCTGCAGGCGCAGGGGGACGGACGGAGACTCGCCAAGACCCCGGAGGCGCCCGGCGTCGGCACCAACTGGGCGCGAGCTGGCGCGCGCGCTGCACCGACGGCGGGGCCGCGGGGAGGCGAGAGGCCCCGGCTTTGTTCGGAAAGGCTTAGCCCACACCTGGCGCTACCGGCCCAAACAGCAGTTCAAGACACCACTTTTGGAGGGTTCTTTTTCTTTTCTAAAAGCTCTAAGCTTTTTGTTTATTCGTTTTGAACCAAGAACAGAAACCCATTTTAGAGCCCTAGCCGGGTTGCTCAGTGGTTAGAGCGCCGGCCCGCGGGCCTGAAGGGTCTTGGGTTTGATTCCCAGCAGAGGCATGTCCCTTGGCGAGGCAACCAACAGATGTGTCTCTCTCACATGGATGTTTCTCTCGCTCTCTCTCAATCCACTCTATCTGCAAAAGCAATGGAAAAAATATCTTTGGGTGCGAAAAGAGAAAGAAATCCATTTTCTAACCAGAAAAAAAGTTAGTTTGGGGAAGTTTTCAAAGGATTTCGAGCTCTCACTCAGGGGAGATTGTAGAGGAATGGGGGTAAAAGTAAGGGGCCCCCGCACAAGAGGACACACACTGCGGGGTTCCACTTAATGGTCCTTAGAGGAGTCAGATTCAGAGACAGAAGCAGCAGGGTTGCCAGGGGAGGGGGCTGGGCACAGAGTTTCAGGTTTGCACTGTGAAAAAAGCTCTGGAGATGATGGTTGCCCAACAACGTGAATGTACTTAGTGCCACTGAACCGTACACTTAAAATGGATAAAATGATAAATTTTATGTTATTTGTGTTTTACCATGATAGAAAAAAAAGGTGAATGGATTTAAGAAAAAGTATCAGGAGAGAGGCTCCCCCCACAGAGCTGAAAAGACAAAGGCAAGCAAGCTCCTCAGGTGTCTGCTAGCCGGTCCATGGGCGCCCTGAGGACAGGAGCTGGCTTTGGTCTGCTTATTACTCCTTCTTTCCCTTCCTGGGGGAGCAATGGTTGGGGGGGGGGGCCTGTCATGGGATGCTTTAAATATAAAGTGCCCCTGGACTGTGAAACAATTGCATGAAGGTCCTGACAGCAGAAGCCATCAGTCTCTAGGACCAACACATTTAGGTTGAAAGGGGGCCCATTTCTTTTTCCATCCTGTTTGTAAGTGGAAGAGGCAGTGGGGCGTCAAGAAAGGCCTGCCTCCCTCCTCCGTTAGCACAGAGAGCACCCCTTGGGGACAGGAGCTGGAGGGGCCTCTTAGCTGCCGGTAAGGCAGCCTCATCCTGAGAAAACTCCCAGCAGGCTGAATAGAATGAAGACACACAAAGCAGCAAATCTCTGGGGCAACACTTAAAAGTGACCTTGGGCCTTGGCCGGTGTGGCTCAGTGGTTAGAGCGTCAGCCTGCACACTGAAGGGTCTCGGATTCAATTTCTGGTCAAGGGCATGTACCTGGGTTGCAGGTTGATCCCGCCCCGTTTTTTTTTTCTCTCTCTCTCCTCCTCCCTCCCTCCTTTCCACTCTCTGAAAAGCAATGGAAAGAATATCCTCAGGTGACGATTAACAAAAACAAAACAAACCATGACCTTGGGCTGGGTGCAGTGGAAGGACATTGAGTATTGACAAAGCTCCTACTCTCCAGATACTATGCTAACCACTCATTCCTCTTCCCCACAGTGAGATGCCACACAGAAATCAGAGGACATGCCAGGCTTTTTGAGCAGAGGGACAGGACATCTTTAAGATCTGATCTTTTTATATACAACATGTTGGTTGCATCACAGTGTGGGGACCCCATCCACTCCTATAGATTCTGTATTGGGGTTTTTTGCCATTTACACAACAGCCACTGTGTGTCTTCCAGACCTTCTGGCTGGAGATGTGCTGGGATTCCATGTGGACAACCTCACCACCAGTCAGATGAACAGTCACCCAGCTCTAAAGACACTTGGCCTCTAGCATTAACTACAGATTTTGCAGGTGTGATGGGAAAGGAAAAGTCACTATGTTGGTCTGCAGAGGAAAAACTGACAAGTGAGGGTGGCAGCAAGGAAACATCTCCGGCCCAACCCCAATCTGGGGAATTTTCAGGTTGTGAATCAGTCCTTCCATGTGAATTTTCTTCCGTAAAAAGGGTAAAAACTCTGGTTACACAAAAGAGCTAAACGGATTCCCATAACTACTTCGGGGGACCAGAGAGGAAGAGCCCACTCCCTGACCTGCCAGCATCTGGTGACCCCTGACTAGGGTCCCCTGCAGTGGGCGTCCTCGCCCAGCCCCACACAGCTACATACCGATCTGGGCCTGGTACTGACAGTGGCTCCCAGTCCTTCCTGAAGTACAAATGCATGTATACTGGTTGACTCCTTCTAAACATGTCTCACCATGTTGACAAGGCCGGCTGGAGCATTCACTTGTATCTGGGAAAAGAAATAATTTTCAAACACAAGTGTTTGAGTTCTGATTCTAAAACAAACAAAACACAAAGTGGATGAACTTTCTTTACATTGCAGTTTGACCCCAGCACTCCGCCTCCCCTCTGTGTCCTTGCCACTGCCCCCCTGTAGGAGCTCAGATGCAGCCACCCTCACTCAGCAAGTCACCTATCCTGCCAACCTGGAGCTCTGCTGGGGGTGCGGCCCATTACCTGCCCCATCAGGCAGCACCCAGGGAGAACTGCCCCCAGCTCTGCCCCTATCCATCAGCACCCAGGGAGAACTGCCCCCAGCTCTGCCCCTGTCCATCAGCGCCCAGGGAGAACTGCCCCAGCTCTGCCCCTGTCCATCAGCCCCCAGGGAGAACTGCCCCCAGGGAGAACTGCCCCCAGCTCTGCCCCTATCCATCAGCACCCAGGGAGAACTACCCCCAGCTCTGCCCCTGTCCATGAGCACCCAGGGAGAATTGCCCCCAGCTCTGCCCCTGTCTGTCAGCGCCCAGGGAGAACTGCCCCCAGCTCTGCCCCTGTCCATCAGCACCCAGGGAGAACATTTTTTGGACAGGAGCTCAGTTTAGGGGAGTTGTAAGAGGGAGGGAGGGGTGGCCCCTGAAATGTCCGACTGAAGGGCAGTTGTCACCACCATGGAATGTACAGAGATGGGGAAATGCACTTTCCAATCCCGCCCAGAAACCTGTGCTCCTGTTTCCTGTGCGACCATTGACCAGAGAAGAGTTCTCCTGACCCTTGACCTCGCCTCTCGTTGGAAAGGACACTGTTCCTTGCTCATGGACACAACGGTCCCGTGGAAAAACTAAGTTTAGAGAGATATATGTTTTAAAGTTTAACAGGTTTTTCTCTGTGTGGTAGTTTTCTTATTCATGCTTTTATTGCCCTCTTCCATTTTTCCACAATAAACATTCATAAATTTGCAAATTAGGAAAATAATGATCTTTTGAAACCCTCAGGCCCCATTTGCGTGTCATGAATCCCGTAAGCCCAGTTTCAGTGGCGGCATCTGGGCACCAGGGGCAGGTCTGTGGGTTCCCTGAGCTGATCCTAGCATCCTGGGGACCAGTGGGAAACATGTCCGAGTGGCACTGGAGTATCCTTTCCTGCCGTGCCCATGGGGAGGGAGGAAGTCTTTGCCCCTGATAAGAACAGCGGCCTCGTGTGGGCAGGTTGGCTTCCTCGTGACCAGGGTGTCATGTAGACTGTGACATGGCTTGTATTCATCACAGAAGAACCCAGACCATCGAGATGTTGGGAGGAGCCATTTCAACTTCTCAGTGACCTCCGCCTGGCTGTGCTCCCCGCACAGGTTGTTTTCAGACAACTGGCCTCCAGAAATGTGTCTGGAAACGCACCGCACACAGAGCCACAGGGCTCGGAGTTCCAGTTTCCACCCGTTGTCCAGCCTATCATTTCTCACCAGCAAAGTCTGCAAACAGCAGACCATGGGGCCGTGAAGCCACGGGCATCGAGCCAGGGTTTGAACACTAGTGTCTTTCAGTCCAGCCCGGTGGGACAAGCGCCATGGTCTGTCCCCGGCCGGGCCTCCAGCAGAAGGCACTGAGCCTGGTGGCACCTGGACAATGGGGTGCAGGTAGGGTGGGGGTTGTGCTCAAGTGCCCTGAACCCCAGTGCACCATCCCCCCTCTGGATCATGTGGCCCAGGGTTTTCATTTCTAGACAGGATCCACACAGACTCTTATCTTGATCCACTCTTGGAGGCATGCCATGGCATGATGCCCAGTCCTGGCACCCTATCTGTGTCCTGACTGAAAGGCGGTTGTCATCACATCATGTCTGTCCCAGGCGGTGGCACTTAGTTAAGTGCATGGCGACTTCAGAGCTGTAAAGAGGGGACTGGAGAGGCTGTGGAGAGGCTGGGAAAGCAAAAGCACTGTGATGAGCCTGGCTGGGTGGCTCAGTTGGTTGAGTGTCGTCTGGTCCACCAAAGGGTTGCAGGATCGATCTCTGTGGGAGGCAACTGATTGACGTTTCTCCCTCACATCAATGTTTCTCTCTCTCAAAAAAAAAAAATCAATAAAAACATATCCTTGAGCGAAGATTAAAAAACAAAAAAGCACTGTGATGATTCTGTGGACCCACTTACTGTTCAGTGAGCACTTACTATTTCCCTGGACCTGAGCTCAGTGTTCACAGGCATGATCTGACTTCTTGTTCCTTTATTCCTAATTCTTTCCTGTGTTCGCCATCTAGTTTCAAACTTTCCATTTCTCCAGTCACCTCTTTTCTGAGGTTTTCTAACTTTTATTTATGCCGTCCTTTCAAGGATTTTATCTTTTAAAAGTTCCTTGCTGCTTGTTTGGAAATATTAGTTACAGCTTTCATCTGTTTTATGGGCATGTCTTTCTGGCATTTCTTCATTGTCTATAGACTTTACTCTCCGTTTCCTTACAATAGTTTGTATGGGATTTGAGGAGTCCTTTCCTATTACTCATGTTCAGGGGAAATAAGTTTTCCCATGGAGGTTTTCTAACTCCCTAACTCCTGATGTCACAGTTCTGCTGTTTTCAGCGTGGGTCACACTTGCTCAGCTCTGCCCTTTTCAATCCCCAGCCTTCTCTGTACCATCTCTTCCATTTGCCCCGAATTTTCTTGCTGGGCTCAATTTGGATTCTCCTCCCAGAGTCTCCACAATGTTGGGGCTTGTCCTGGAATGCCCTGAGAGTTCCTAGGGACAGATTGCTCCAGAAACAGAAACTCCCTATTGAAAACATGGCTCCATACCTGAGGAAATTGGTCTAGGAAGGCCAGTACTGATACAGAGCCCAATACAACTACTAAACTTTAAAGAAAAAGAAAAATTGGGCATCCGGGCAAAAAGATTTCTTAGTCGTGATGGCAACAACAATATTGGTTAAAACAGAAGACTTGAGCCCTGGCTGGTGTGGCTCAGTGGTTAGAGCGTCGGCCTGCCCACCGGAGGGTCCTGGGTTCAATTCCCGGTCAGGGGTGAGTACCTAGGTCGCAGGTCTGATCCCTGCCCCTGGTGGGGGCATGTGAGAGGCAGCCAATGGATGTGTCTCTGTTGCATCGCAGTTTCTCTCTCTCTCTCCCTCTCCCTTCCCTTCCACTCTCTCTGAAATCAATGGGAAAAAATATCCTCACTCCCCAGGTGAGTATTAAAAACAAACAACAACGAAAACACACACAGAAGACTCAAGGAACGTATTAAAGATACTCAAGGGAAGGAATGTGAGACAGGTATTTTATGTCCAATCAAAATGACACCCAGCGGTAAAGCTGCAACTTTTTTGAAAGTGGGAGAACTCAGGGAATTGCCCCTATGCTCCTCTTGGGACAACTGGCTGGACAGATGTCTGCATGAGGACGGTGATGTCACCAGGCACAGCTTCACAGGGAGAGAGGGGGCAACAGCGGGGACTCCCCGGGAGAAGTCTATAGCGCTGTCTGGCCCAAACAAAACAACACTCTCCCTGAGTCTGGCCAAGCCTCTGGAGTTAGCTCCCAGTTTACAAGAAATACAGAGGCAAACGCCCAGTTACAAGATAAATAAGTGCAGCGGGTGACTGTCGTTAACAAAGCTGGAGGATACACAGGAAAGAGGTGAGAGAGTAAATCCTAAGAGCTCTCGTCACAAGGAAAAAACCTTTTGTTCTTTTCTTTGTATCTATATGAGATGATGGGAATCTTTCAGGATCAAGGGGAAATCCAGATACTGGCATGTCCCCCCTGTGCCTGCCTGTCACACGGCTTGTATTTCCCGGCTAGTTCCTGGTTGCTCTGTGACCCCCCTTCAAACCGTGTTCTTCCCGGGAGGTGGGAAACGAAGTCGGGCCCACGGGCACGGTGCCGCCTGCCCTGGGCCTCTCAGGTCAACCCTCGCTCGTCCGGAGAGATGGCGCATTTCAGATGAGCCTGTATGTTTGCAAGTTACCTCTGCATTCAAATGCTGCTCTTCAAAACCTACTTGCTTATGTAATATCTGTGTCTCCCCTTTGCTTCTTGGGCTACAATCATGGACATTGTGTCCTATGAACCCTGCCCCGAAAATGACTGGTATGCATGAAGAGCTGACCATACATTTTTGAAAAGCCAACAGGTGATGCGTGCCAAGTCTGCTTTTCCTCGACATCAAGGAAGCACTGTTTTCAAGCCCAACAGAGAGAAGAGAAGCCTTCATGCCTCCCTCTGCCCCAGCTGTCTCCCCTGGAGCCGGTCTACACTGAGTCCAAAACGGACACAAAGGACATCTGAGGGATTTCTTCAACCCCACAGGTCACCAACAGCCTCTCAAACAGCAGCCCCAGAATGAACTAGCCACGGGCAAGGTTTCCGCGCAGGGTCCCCCTCCTGTCCTTCCCCACAACTCACAGAAGGCGTCTCGCCCCAGCTTCGGTAAGAGCAGGGCGAGGTGCTGAGGAACAAGCGCTGGGGTCAGTGGGTCTGTGTGTGGATCAGCTCAGCCTGTCCCCCAGCTCTGTGGTCTTGGCCAAGTTCCTTCTGTGCCCCAATTTCCCCATACGCAAAACAAGACTAAATTGTTGGAAGGGTTTAGGGAGTTCACACAGACGGAGCTGAGTCATCAGGCACCGTGGCCGCTTTCCCACAGTTGAAAGATGATGGAGGAATCAGGCAGAAAGTGTCCCAAGAAATGACCCTTTCTCCCAGCAGGGCCTTGCTGGGCTGCAATGGGTCCAGCCCTGGGGGAGGGTTGGGAGGGACCCACCTCTACACTGGGGCTGCTCCCCTGTCCAGGTGCCATTGGGAAGACACACCAAGCTGCTAGGCCCCACCAGCTGGAACCCGGGATCGCAGGTGAAATGGACTTCATGATCCACTAAGTACCTGCTTCCAAACTTTCTGCCATCTAGAGGGGCGTCCAGGGCAGGGCAGGAAACTGTAAGGAGAAAAGGAAGGACCAGAGCACATTAGACATCACTCAGTTTTTAGGCTTCTTGTCTTCAGGCACCTCCCTGAGTGCCTCCTCCAGGCTGTGCATCAAGCTGGGCTTTCGGTTTTTCTTAAAATATATTTTAATTGACTTTAGAGACAGGAAGGGAGAGGGAGAGAGAGAGTTGAAACATCAATGATGAGAGTCATCGATCGGCTGCCTCCCGCACATCCCCTGCTGAGGATCAAGCCCCCAACCCGGGCATGTGCCCTGACCGGGAATCGAACCGCAATTTCCTGGATCCTAGGTTGATGCTCAACCACTGAGCCACTCGGGCTGCGCAAGGCTGGACGTTTCTAACGTATGTCTCACTGAATCCTCAGAGTGCGGTTGGCCATGGGTAATAACCGCCCATTCAGGGAAATACGAGGAGACTGCAGCTCAGAGACACTGAGTGCTGTGCTTGAGCCTGATTACGTGGGAGGGTCGGGGTGTTATTCTCTGTTGCTGTGCTGACACCTGACATTCTCAGAGCCTCAGGCGGGGCTCAGCCCCACATCCAGGCCTTGGCTTCTGCTCTACTCTCTGCAGAAAAGAACATTCTTTCCCCAGAACGTCCAATCTCTGGCTCCCTGTCAGAGACATGGGTCTCTGCTTGAATGAAATCTCCTCCCAGAGTGTTCTCTCACTACCACGCTTAGCTAAAACCTCCCAGGGCACCAGCTATGTCATGAGCTCCCTTTGCTTCCTTTCTAGATTTGTGACCACTGGAGGCATCTTATCACCATGTTTGTTTCCACATCTGTTGTCAGTCTTCTGCAGGAAGCAGCTCGAGGAGGGACTATGCCCGGCCTGTGTCCCTGCTGCACACCTGGCCCAGTCCAGAGCCTGCCCTAAAGTGAGCACCCAATAAGTAATCCTTGAACACATAAGTACATGAAAAATTATCTCTTGTGTTCTTATTATGTGTCAGGCACTATATAGGCACTTGGAATAATCAGGGAACAAAACAGACAAAACCCTGCTCTCAGAAGCCCTTTCTAGCAGGGGAGAGGCCATTGATAATCGAGACCCATGAGCAAATGGCTGAGTGAGGTAAGAGGCAATAAGTGTCAGGTAGAAAACAGAGCAGGGAACTGCACTGAGATGCACAGGGAGGGGTGTAGCCGTGAACGTGGTGGTCAGAGGAGGCCTCACTGGAGCCAAGCATTGAAGAGACAGTGGAGGAATAACCACACAGAACCTGGGAGGACGGAGGGGACAAATCATTGCCCAGCAGGTCTGAGGAATGTAAAGGGAACCACTGTCAAGGTGGAAAGGAGTGGGGTCTCTTTGGGGGAGAAATCTTTAAAATCCTCAAAAAAAGGAAAACCACATGCTGGAGCAACTCATAGGTAAACCATATCTGCATCGATGGAATAGCACCTGGCACATAGTAGGTGCTCAATAAATGTTAGTGGAATTAAAGAATGGATCTAGATCAGTTAAAAATCAATTTGCAGCAATGCTCGAGCAAAAATACTGGACAAAATATTTTTTAAAATCTTTTTTAAAGCATCAAGCAGGTAGCAAAACAGTGACAAGAAACTAATCTGTGAAGAAATTTGGGAAGGTGACAGCAACATTTTGCTGCTTTTGCCCCTGGGTGGTGGGGGGGCGGGGGGCAGTAGTTTTGAAAAGTAAAAATTTGCAGTCACTTCCCAAGTGGGAGCCAACGGCCGCTGTCCAGTAGACAGCGTGCCCTGTGGACAGTGTGCCCACGGCTGGTTCATTTCACTACCAGCACGTCCCGGTGAGTCTGCAGGCCACAGGGAAGCCCCTGTACCTTCCAAAATTAGATTAGTGCGCAAGGAGTGAGATCTGCAGGGAGCAACCCTGGGGACGGGATGGGAATGGAATGAGGCTGCCTGATAAGCCCTGATGACGCTGACAGGTTGTGATGTTCACAAGAAAGAAAAGCTGGGAAAACAGCAAGGAGATGCTTTGGACAGAAGCCCAAAGAGGAAGGCCTAAGAGTCTGCAAGACTAGAAACTATTCTTCCTGACTCCCAAAAATGTCCTTTAAAAAAAAAAAAAAAGCCGAAGCTAATTTCCCACTACCTACCATTTGACCTGGGGCAACCTTCTGCTGCCATGGCCCAGGTGCAGTCACCTCACCGTGCAGCGGGCGTCCTGACTGCTGCCGGACCCCATGTCCAACACACAGGAGAGACAGAATGCATGGTGGCAATTTTTTAAAAAAGAGAATGAACCACTTTAAAAATCCTTGCCTGGTTCAAAGAAGAAAGACCCTGAATCTGGAGATAAGAGGCCTAGTAATTTAACAATACACCCTTCTGCCAGGCCAGTGTGGCTCAGTGGTTGAGCGTCGACCTATGATCCGGGAGATTGCGGTTCGATTCCCAGTCAGGGCACATGCCCGGGTTGCGAGCTCAATCCCTGGTGCAGGGAGTGCAGGAGGCAGCCCATCAATGACACTCATCACTGATGTTTCTATCTCTCTTTCTTTCTCCCTTCCTCTCTCTGAAATCAGTAAGGACATATTTTTAAAAATACACAAAATACACCTTTCTGTCTGTACTAGTGGGCAGAGGCCTCGAACACAGGCCAGCGGTTTTATAAATTATCTGTTGTAGGTTCTTCTTTGAAACGCTCAACAGCTGCAGGCAGCTCTGATCCCATGAAAAGAGAAAGGATCTGTGGAGTTGGGCGTCAAGCAGGAAAAAAAATCACTAGATCTGGGACCTGCAACTGCTAACTCACTTCTCCTGGCCCCGGTTTCCCCATCTGTAGCAGAAAGAATAGACGCCCTTGCCTGCCTTTCGGAGTATAGCTGTGATGAGCCCCCCAAGGAGCCCATAGGGCCTGGGACAGTGTGAGGGGGTCTGGCTGGCAGGTCTGGCTCTCCACTGGGGGGAGCCGAGGAAATCAGGATTTGACTCAGTGCTGTTGAGACTCTGGGTTTGACACCGTTATCTCTGCAAAGGTAGGAAATCCAGCACCTTCCCCCGGAAAGTTCATCTTACAAAACTAGGAAGGCCCTTGAAATTGGTATTAAGTGTATGAATGACGTCAGATACGCCACAGGCTCATGGCTACCCCCCACCCCGAGACTCCATCACTCTGCGGAGAGACCAGAGGAAATCCAGCCACCCACTTCTGGGCCTTGGCAACGTGAAAGCCATTGCTGGGACAAGTAGGGCACCCCAGTGTGGGTCAGAGCCCACCCACTGCCCCTCACCAGACAGATCCACATGCCCTCAGCACCCCTCTCACCTACCCACTGGCCTTACTGGGCATTCCTGTTGGAAGACTAGTCTTCATGCCTGAAAAACTTCAGCCAGTATTGGTTCACTGGCGGTACCAGGCGTGCTGCCCTGGTGCAGATGTTGATGTGGGGGACACTGTGTGTGTTCCGAGAGGGCATATGTGGGAACTCTGTGCTTTCCACTCAGTTTTGCTGCCCACTTAACAGTGCTCTAAAAATTAGTGTTAAAAATTTAAAACCCCAAACTGGAGCCAACTGGGATCTACCTGGGTGGGGATGGAGAAGGGAGAAGCAGCTCTTGCTTTAAAAGTAGTGCCTTTTGAGGACTCTGTGAACATAACAGCATATAGACGTGAGCACTGTGAAGCCGAGAATGAAAAGATCTAAAAGGAAACAGGTGACATTCAGACTCAGGGGCAGAGGGGAGAGCGGCAGGTGAGGCAGAGAGAGGCCTGGGAATCTACTGTGGGACAGGGTAAAGTGTGACAGGTGGGGACGGGAGAGAACCCAGAGATGAAGGGCCTGAATGCCCTGTGCCCAGGGGTGCCAACTTAGAGACTCACCTGGGGAGCCGTCGAAACCCACTCTGTTGGCAGAGCTCTGCAGTATGGCCAGGCGGCTCCTCACATTGCGGAGGCCCTCGGCGAAGCGGGTCTCCTGCACCTTCAGCAGCTGCTGCAACTGGCGGACGGCCGTGAGGACCTGCTGCTTGTTGAGGCAGCTCTGGAGACAGAGCGATCACCGCCACCACCCACTATGGCTGGTTCACTCGCTCCAGGCTTCCAGAGCCACCCAGACCCCTGGCCCAACAAGGTGGTTTGAAAGCGGCCTCATGGGCATCCTTCCTTGTCCAGAGTTCCCATTGGACCAAATGACGCCCCAACCACACATATCAGAGGCCCCGTTCACCCTTCAACAAAAGCAAAACTCCCACCTTCAGAGCAAAGGGCAAAGCTGATGGTTCTACATGCCTGGGGGGTACACACCGACTGGTACTCAAAGTGCCTGATAGTCAGTAGTCTTTGCTCCAAGACCTCCCAACTCTTCACTCTGAATTAATGCTCTTAATCTGGGCCCTTGTCAACTTTTTCTTTCTCCCTTGGACTTTTTAAAAGCAGGTGGGCGATGCGACTTATAAAACAGGCAAAACAGGAATGCTCCATGGTTCCGGTACTTTTAACAACGTAACAGGGCAAATAAGAAAAAAACCTCAATAGCATTAAAGGAGCATTCAACAAAAGTCAACGCCCAGTTCTGAGGATGTTGTAAAAGCTTAAAAAACAAAAAAAGGGAGGCTGGAGCTCTCCATGATGAGGCTAATTTAAAGCAACACCCTGCGTCATGCTTAGTGATACAAGCGTTAAGGCTCCTCAGAGCCAGGGCGAGAGAGGGGCCAAGGCAGGAGGAGGGGGTGCAGCGGATGGCGACAGGCTGTGGCGCTCACCTGGGGGCTGTGTGTTACCTCGGTGTGGCCGCGCCTGTCCTGACTCATTACCTACACAAAGCAGAGAAGGAACATTAAGAAGACAATGACTGTGTTCTGTAGGGACAGGCTTATGGATCATTTGTCATACTTAATTTTTTTCTACAATGAGTATAATTTTTTTCTAAAAGGGCAGCAGGGCGGCTGGGAGTCACGGGCCACCATGGTGGAAACAGAGCCACCACTGCTCTCCCAGGGAGGCTGCCAGGCCACGGCACCTCAGTGGTTTCGCCAAGCGGGTAACTCATGGGCCTGATTCAATGGGCGCTTTTTACAAAGCTGGATCCCCGGTTGCCCCTGGGACTCATTAACCTACGGGGAATCCTTGGCTCCATCTACTCCAACCAGGGCCTGACTGGGCCTGGCCCCGACCGCAGCTGCTGGGGAGAGAAGTTTTGTTTGTTTCCTTCTACCTGCCCCACTTGTCCTTCCCACTCAGGCCTGGGGCGCCCGGCCCGGCCTCCAGCAGCCGCTGCTTGCCCAGCACTGCACAGCAGTCCCACCCAGGCCTCATTTCCCACACCCACGCCCCCTCCTTTAAAAAAAGAGCTGCTTCTATAGTTGGCTTCGTGGCTTATGTATGATTTACATTGAGAAGTTCACGATTAGCAAGGCTACTGGCCACTTCAAAGACTACCTACTGGCTGGAGCAACCCTGCGAGGAAGGCTTGGGATCGTGACTTTCACAGATGAAGGCACAGAGGCTGGAAGTCAAGCAGCTTTCCCCAGATCATGGGGCTTAGGAGCTGGGGAGCCAGGCTGGGAACCCTATTGGCCCCCATCAGGCACCCTGAGCCATCAGTGACCCCTCTGCACTGTCTTGTGCCCTGTCTCATTTGTTCCCCACAGGCCCCTGGATGGTGAGTGGTCTTCTTGATTCATTTGCAATAGAAACTGGTAACTTGACCTAAGCAAAATACCCCACAGGAGTGAATTTCTAACTCTCATGCAAATTTCGGGCTGGGTAGCGTGGATGGTGGGGCCAGAGGTGGAGAGCAAGCAGAGGAAACATCACTCCCCACGTTGAGACAAGGGAGCAGCTGCCTCTCTATCTGGGAGAGGGCTTGCTGGACGGGGTTCCTTAGAGGACACGGGAGGGCTGTTTTGAAACTGGGGAGAGAAGATCGGTGCCAAGACCTCTGTCAAGAACCTGGGGGTGGCATGGAGCCCCAGGGGTAGAGAAAGAGGGGGAGCGTGTGTGGAAGGAAACAGGCCCAGCAGCCAAGTGTATCTAACCCCAGTGTAGGTCTGGGCACAATTATTCTGAGTCCAGAAACACTTCCCGGAACCCTTCTTAGCACCCACAGGGTGGAAAATGGGCACCAGCTGCTTTCCCCCTAAGTGCTCATTAGGGGTGAAATAGGCTCATCCAGTCATAATGGAAAACCCTTCAGACCAAGCACACTAAGGGAGAGGGAAGAGTTGCGGGTGGACTTGCTGAGGGAAGGTTGGGAAGCCCTGGCCCATTCATTCCTGCCTCCAACCTCCCAGGGCTGATGCTAACAGAACATAGTGTGGTTGGTGTGGTCGCGTAAGATCTTGTCAGCCTAGAAATAAATCCATGCCCAGATGGTCAATTATTTAAGACAAAGGAATCAAGACTATACAATGGGGCAAGGACCCATTGATGTTGGGAAAACAGGATAGCCACACACAAAAGAATGGAATGGGACCCTTATCTAACACCGTATGCAAAAATCAACTCCAGCTGGATTAAAGACTTGAATGTAAGAGGCGAAACCATAAAACTCCTAGAAGAAAACATAGGCAGTAAGCTCCCTGACACCAGTCTTGGTGATGATTTTTTTGGATTTGACACTAAAAGCAAAATAAACAAGAAAGACTACATCAAACTGACAAGCTTTTGCACAACAAAGGAAGCAAACCATCAACCAAATGAAAAAGCAACCTACTCAATGGGGGAAAATATTTGCAAATACAACATCAGAAAAGGGATTAATATTCAAAATATATAAATAACTCACAGGACAACAGCAAAGAAACCCAAACAACCTCATTAAAAAATGGGCAGAGGATCTAAATAGACATTTTCCCAAAGAGGACATAACCAATAGGTACATGAAAAGATCTGCAACATCATTAATCGGTCATCAGGGAAACACAAATCAAAACCACAGTGAGACAGCACCTCACACCTATCAGAATGGTTATTATGGTTATTGTCAATAAATCAACAAACAAGTGTTGGTGAGAATGTGGCGAAAAGGGAACCCTCTTGCACTGTTGATGGGGGTGCAGACTGGTGCAGCTACTGTGGAAAGCAGTATGGAGGTTCCTCAAAGAATTAAAAATACAGCCCTGGCCTGTGTGGCTCAGTTGGTTGGGCACCGTCCCATGCACCAAAAGGCTGCTAGTTCAATTCCCGGTCAGGGCACCTGCCCAGGCTACTGGCTCAGTCCCTGGTAGGGGGAGTGCAGGAGGCAGCCAATCAATGTTTTGCTCTTACATCAATATTTCTCTCTCTCATGCTCTCTCCCTCTCCCTTCCACTCTCTTTAAAAATCAATTAAACCTTTTTAAAATTAAAAATACAACTACCTTATGACCCAGTAATTCCACTTATGGGTATTCTCTGAAGAAAAGGAAAACACGAATTCAAAAATGCACTCTTATATTCACTACAGCATTATTTTCCTTTTTAAAGTGATTTTTAGAGAGAGAAAGGGAGAGAGAGAAGAGCAAATGAAACATCAAAATAATGGCTATTATTTTCAATAGCCAAGACATGAAAACAACCTAAGTGTCCACTGATGGATGAATGGAAAAAAGATGTGATGTGATAAATATATATAGTGTGTCCCCAAAAAATGTATACACACCCTGTGTATAATTATAAAGGCAGTGTTTATTAAAATACATTTCACTTTCATGACCAGCCGGGCCGTGGCTCAGCGGCTGAGCGTTGACCTAGGATCCAGGTGATCGGGGTTGGATTCCGGGTCAGGGCACATGCCCGGATTGCGGGCTCTATCAATGACTCTCTCATCATTGATGTTTCTATCTCTCTCTCTCCCTCTCCTTTCCTCTCTCTGAAATCAATAAAGATATATATTTTTAAATAAATAAATAAATAAAATATATTTCACTTTCAAAATTGAGCTATTGGCTGTTAAAGTGTGTACACATTTTTGGGGGACACCCTGTACATACAATTAAGCCATAAAAAGGAAGAAAATCCTGCCATTTGCAACAACATGGGTAGACCTTGGGGGCATTATGCTAAGTGAAATAAGTCAGACGGAGAAACAAATACTGTATGATCTCACTTATAAGTGGGATGTAAAAAAATAAACTCATGGGTACAGAGAACAGATTTGTGGTTGCCAGAAGCAGGGGTTGGGGGTGGTAGTGTGAAAACAGTGGGAGGTGATCAAAAGGTAAAAAGTTCCAGTTATAAATCCTGGGGACCTAATGTACAGCAGGGTGACTATAGTCAACAAGACTGGATTGAGTGTTTGAAAGTTGCTAAGAGAGTAGATCATAAAAGTTCTCATCACAAGAAAAACACAATTTGTAATTATTCGAGGTGATGGAGGTGAACTAGACTTACTGTGGTGATCATTTTACAATCTATACGTATATCAAATCTCGATGCTTTACACCTGAAACTGACATAATGTTGTATGTCAATTAAAGCTCAATAAAACTAGAAGAAACAAAAGAGAAAGTCTCCAAGAGGGGGAAAAAAGGAAGCTCTCTGGCAAGACAGCATGCAGGGTCCAGGCCAGGTGCCAGGGAAACAGAGAGATTTAATGCCTGGGGATGACTTTTGATGAGTTGGCTGCAGCTGCTATTACCAGGGTGGCTCCTTGATGCCGAAGTGCTAAATGGAACCCTTGGGAGCCATGCTCAGAATCTGTCACCTGTCGTCAGACTTGAGCGCAGGCGTAACTGAATTCATATGCAGAGCCTGGTAACAAGGCTGAAATCCTACGACCAAGTCGGGTGCTCAGGAGGCCGGCATTATGGGCACAAATAGGGTTGTGGAGGCGGACTGGAGACCTGAGTGTGTCCCCTTTTCAAACTGAGAAGGCTTTATCATTTCCCTTGATTATAAAGCATAATCCCATAAAACATCAAAACAAAGAACAAGTCCTGTGACCATAGACACTACTACCAACTGCTGTCGCTTTCATCTTCATACACTTGGCCACAGGACGCAGCTTCCATCAGCCTGCTTGTCGACACCGGGTTGTGGCATCGTTTCGCACCAGCAAGCAGAGCAATTTGTTGGACCTGGGCCTAGATTTCCCTTCTGTTCCTCTGTGCTCTTTTCATTCTGGGGAGGAGCTCCTTGCTCCTTCCATCTGTCTGCCCACTTACCTTCCCACACTCACCCCATCTCCTGCTCTGGGCCAGTAGGAGCCCTGGCCTGAAAACACACCATTTTCCTCTGCAAATGTAGCCTTGACGAGGTCAGCCAAGGGACTGCAGGGGCCTCCGAGGCTCAGGGACAGGAAGCAAGTTGGACCCTCAGGTGTTACCACCTGCATTTCAGCCTGGCCCTGCCACAGCAAAGGGCTAGCTTCAGGCAGTCCCTTCCCAACCCGGGGCCCAGACCTCAACTGTATAAACTAACCACAGGCTCCGCTCGCCCTTCCAGAGCTGACCTCCCCATCGAGTGAAGGTTCCCCATGGCTGATTGGACGAAGGTGAAATCCACCCCGGGTGGAAGGTGCTCCCCAGAGGCCGAGGAAGGCCTGTGTCAGGGCCCCCACCTCCACAAACCTCTTCCAGGGCCCTGGAGGGGCCCTCATTTTAAATACTTTTTAAAAGAGATCCCCTCAGATGGTGGAAATTTCCATCTTTCAAAGCCTGGCGCCACACTCCACACCTGGTTTATGCCAATTGATAAATAATGGGAAATAATTTCCATTTCTTTGAATTAAAAATGTATTTGAAACGGAATGAAGAAAGGACATTCAGTGAAAGCTCTCCATCTTTTGGGGGGATCTATATTTACCATTTCTGTCATCAGACCCTTCAAAGGGCACTGGTCTATCTGGACACCGACAACCATGTTTGCAGGACCTGAACCAGTGAGAGAAGCAGCAACGACACGACCCATGAAGCCCTTCCCATGCTGGGGTGGGGGTGG